AGAAAATGAAACGAACCCAGGACCTATTCACAAATATAATGCTGCTATGCAGAGAATATTCTGGACTTGGGTCAGTGTTTGCTAGGCAGAGGTCTTTCCTACTTGGCTGGCTCTAATCCTGCTGGATCATGTTTTACTGCCCTGTTAGAAGGTCATGACCTATTTTGAATGTTTTTGGATCTCTTCCAAAACTTCAAATTTTGGTCCACTAACTCTGTTAGGTGAGTAAAATAAAGAAATTGTTAGATAAATACTTTTCAAGTCTGTTTACAGAGTTTTCCTATGGGACAGGTTCTTTGTGTGTTTGTTTTAAAGGAATCAAATGTAAACCTAACACATCAGTCTGTTCCTAAACAAGTACATTGCTAGGAAAGCCCAAGTCTGGTTTTTGCATAGTGCAATTTCCACCAAATAACTGACTCATTTTTTTATGTGTCTATTTTTTATTTTTTCCCCTCTAAAACATTTTCCTTATTCATCATCATAATCAGTTTTGGTTTACTCAGAAATCTAAAATTTTTTCTACCATAAATCCCTTATTTCATTTTTTGTCAATGAGAAAAACACAATGAAACAAAATCAACAAAACTTCTTTCACCTCTTATAAACCCTTCATAGAAAAATGTATTTTAAGCTGGGCACAGTGGCTCATGCCTGTAATTCTAGCACTTTGGGAGGCCAAGGCGGGTGGATCACCTGCGGTCAGGAGTTCGAGACCAGCCTGGCCAACATGGTGAAACTCGTCTCTACTAAAAATACAAAAATTAGCTAGGCATGGTGGTGCATGCCTGTAATCCCAGCTGCTCGAAAGGCTGAGGCAGGAGAATCACTGGAATCCACGAGGCGGAGGCTGTAGTGAGCCAAGACTGCACCACTGCACTCCAGCTTAGGCAACTGAGCAAGATGCCATCTTGGAGGAAAAAAAATGTATTTTAGATGTTTACATGAGAGTGGTGGAAGGAGTTTAGGAAGCACTTTAACAGCAAATGAAGCTTTTATTAAAGACTGCGCTGCAAGTAAAGTAGGAAAGATGATCTATGGTACTTAATTTTGGATTTTGGATTTAATTCATAATTGTTATGCAATTAGTACAACAAGGACAAGATGTTCTTAAATTGCATTTCTACTTCTTACCTGGAGAATTCCAATTATAAATGTTAGGCTGCCTTGTAGGAAATGTCCATTAATAAACAACCCAAAGGAAAAGCAGCAACCCAATTTGCCATCAGTGATTTCACCAAAAAACCATGGACCTAAAAGAGGCAATGGACAAAAAGGGAGAAGATTAAATAACTATAACTCTGATTACATATATCATGAGATGCATTTATAGGAATAATGCAGATATATGAGACTAGCCATCTATAAACATTTTATTTCATAGCCTTTCCTCTTTGCTAGTCTATATGTTTTACTTGATATCCTTGCTAACCAACTATTTGCTCCTTTACTCCACATTTTTTGGATTATGAAATTGTCTTAGTAGATACTATATCTGGAACAGATATGTGTCATATAGATTCTAGAAACAAATAAAAGCATAGTCATATTTTTGAAGATTCTGTTGCAATAATCACCTCAATATAATACATTAACATTTCCTTTAAGAGGCAAAGAGGTATTCCACAGAAGTTAAATTTCCAGATGATTGTGATTTATTCCTTAAAGCAATAGAACTTCAACTCCTTTTTGAAAGAAATCTTTCTAAATTGCACTCATTAACATATGAATATATTTTAACCTCTTCTTGAGGGGCCAGTCATTACTTTGTGTATCAACTACATAATCATGGTTACCATGTAGAAAGTTTAACTTGCTTCATTTTTTTTCTTCTAAAATGCCCTGCTGACTTTTCTCTTCTCTCTATTGTTATTTATTGCCCCCTTCTCAGTGTGTGGGTTTCGAGGTATTATTATTATTATTATTATCATTTTGTCTTGTAAGTGTGCTGGTTTCTGTAAGAATGTCAAGTGTTTGTCAAGAGTGATAAGGGATAGTTAGACTTCCCTTCTCAAAATGCAAACGCCAGTCCAGGCAAGGTGGCTCACACCTGTAATCCCAGCACTTTGGGAGGCTAAGGCAGATGGATCACCTGAGGTTAGGAGTTCAAGACTAGCCTGGCCGACATGGTGAAATC